TATGCATGCCCACCGTTTCCCCTAATTGCCAGGGTTCTGACCAGGGTCAAGACCTTCAGGTCCACGGTCATCCTGATAGCCCCTTGGTGGCCCAGGCAGTTCTGGTTCCCTATCCTGGTGGATATGCTCATCGAGGATCCTATAACGCTCCCACCGGTTTGGGATCTCCTGACCCAGCCTTGGGACGGGGGCCTCATGGTTCACCCGAATCTCAGCTCTCTCCATCTAACAGCCACGTTTATCCGTGGCTGACCCAGCCAGAAACAGACTATTCCCAGGAGGTTCAGATGGTGCTCCTAAGTAGTAGGAAACCATCTACAAGGCGGTTATATGCAGCCAAGTGGCGGCGGTTCTTGTCTTGGATGTCCGGAAGGGGAGTGCACCCATCTTGTCCATTCTGGACTACCTTTTTGAGCTTAGGTCTGGTAGCCTCTCTGCCTCCTCTATCAAAGTCCATGTGGCATCTCTCTCTGCCTTCCATGTTGGTTTGGCTGGAGTCTCTCTGTTTTCTGACCCTGTGGTCAAAAGGTTCATTAAGGGTTTGGATAAGTTGTACCCTTCGGTTAGACCCCCTTGGGACCTTAACCTCGTGTTGTCTAGACTTGTGTCGCCCCCCTTTGACCCACTGGCCACATCTCTTTGAAGCACCTCTCTATGAAGGTTGCGTTCATTGTGGCCATTACATCAGCTCGCAGGGTCTCCGAGCTGAGGGCATTAACTGTAAACCCGCCCTACCTAGTGTTTTCTGACAATGTGAGGCTCCGCCCTCATCCGGCCTTTCTCCCAAGGTGGTGTCACCATTCCATTTGTCCCAAGAAATGTACCTCCCGGTTTTCTTTCCACAGCCCCATGCCTCCCCTAATGAGCAAGTGCTCCATTCCCTGGATGCTAGACATGCGCTAGCTTTTTATATTGATAGGACTAAACCCTTTCGCAAGTCCACACAATTGTTTATTCATTCTGTCAGCGACAGCAAGAAAGGGCTCCCCATATCGACCCAGAGGTTGTCCAATTGGGTCACAGAGTGTATCAGAGAGTGTTATGCCCTGGCCGGGAAGGTCCCGCCCCAGGTTACAGCATATGCCACCAGGGCACAGGTGTCCTGTGTAGCTTTTGGGGTGCAGGTTCCAATCACTGAAATCTGCAGGGCGGCCACATGATCGTCGATCCATACCTTTACATAACTCCCACATTATGCGCTGGCACAGCAAGCCAAGGAGGACGCAGGACTGGGCTCTGCAGTCCTCAGTTCTGTATTGTAAATATGTTTGTTTTTTTCTGTACCACATTGCACTTTTCTACAGTTTTTTCATTCTGTCAGCGACAGCAAGAAAGGGCTCCCCATATCGACCCAGAGGTTGTCCAATTGGGTCTCAGAGTGTATCAGAGAGTGTTATGCCCTGGCCGGGAAGGTCCCGCCCCAGGTTACAGCATATGCCACCAGGGCACAGGTGTCCTGTGTAGCTTTTGGGGTGCAGGTTCCAATCACTGAAATCTGCAGGGCGGCCACATGATCGTCGATCCATACCTTTACATAACTCCCACATTATGCGCTGGCACAGCAAGCCAAGGAGGACGCAGGACTGGGCTCTGCAGTCCTCAGTTCTGTATTGTAAATATGTTTGTTTTTTTCTGTACCACATTGCACTTTTCTACAGTTTTTTCTGTTTGCTTAGTTAAATAAATTTGTTTGGATTGTTCAACTTTCGTGGACTTCTCTTTCTGAGTGCTCCGACCCCTCCTCCTTGAAGTGGGGCTGGCTTGGAAGTCATCTAATTTGAATGGACATGAGCAACCACTCGAAGAAGAAAAGAACAGTTACTTACCTGTAACTGTTGTTCTTCGAGATGTGTTGCTCATGTCCATTCGATTCTCCCCCTACCTTCCCTTCGTCGGAGAGTCCGACAAGAAGGAACTGAGGTGGGGGAGCGCCAACAGGGGTATTCATGCCCCGCCATGGTGGCGCCACTCCAGGGAGCACCCTGCTGTCACTACAGGTACCGCTAGGGAAAATGCTCTGGAAGACACAGTGCACATGGTGCACACACCTAATTCGAATGGACATGAGCAACACATCTCAAACAACAACAGTTACAGGTAAGTAACCATTCCCTGTGCATTGTGGCCCCTGCTCAGCTGACTGAAACACCCCTCCCCACCTGATACAGAGGCAGCAAGGGAGGGCAGGAGCTGGCGCTTGCAGGGAGCTGGCATTAAAGCATTAAAGCCAGCTCCTGCTGAGCACTGGCTCCTGGCTGTACACGCGCCGCACATCAGCTGAAAATTTCAGCAGATACAAGTTTCCACATAAGAACAGCCGTACTGGGTCAGACCAACGATCCATCTAGCCCAGTATCCTTTCTGCTGACAGTGGCCAATACCAGATGCCTCAGAGGGAGGGATCACAACAGGCAATCCTCATATGATCCCTCCCCTGTCATCCACCTGCAAAGAAAGAGGCTAGGGACACCATTCCTACCCATCCTGGCTAATAGATTCATGGAAGTTAGATCCATTAATGTCTCTCTCTCTCTTTTTAACTTTTAAAGTCCTAGTCTTTAACACATCCTCTGGCAAGGCATTCCACAGGTTGACTGTGCACTAAGTAAATTTTGCCACCTCACTGTTTACCACTCTCTCTAGATCATTTACAAATAATTTGAATAGGATGGGCTGCAGGACAGACCCTTGAGGCACCCCACTAGTTATTTGGAAAACTTACCATTTATTCCTACCCTTTTGTGTCCTGTCTTTTAACCAGTTATCAATCCACAAAAGGACCTTCCCTCTTATCCCATGACAACTTATTTAAGAGCCTTTGGTGAGGGACCTTGTCAAAGGTTTTCTGGAACTCTAAGTATACTATATCCACTGGATCCCCCCTGTCCACACATTTGTTGACCCCTCTAAGTAGATAAGGCATGATTTCTCTTTACAGAAACCATGTTGGCTTTCCCCCAACAAATTATATTCATCCATGTGTCTGACAATTTTATTTACTATAGTTTCAACTAATTTGCCCAGTACTGACATTAGACTTCCCAATCTGAAATGGCCAGTATCATCTCTAGAGCCGTTTTTAAATATTGGCATCATGTTAGCTATCTTCCAGTCATTAGGTACAGGAGGGCTATGTCTACACTGGCATGATTTTCCGAAAATGCTTTCATTTGTTGACCCCTCTAAGTAGATAAGGCATGATTTCTCTTTACAGAAACCATGTTGGCTTTCCCCCAACAAATTATATTCATCCATGTGTCTGACAATTTTATTTACTATAGTTTCAACTAATTTGCCCAGTACTGACATTAGACTTCCCAATCTGAAATGGCCAGTATCATCTCTAGAGCCGTTTTTAAATATTGGCATCATGTTAGCTATCTTCCAGTCATTAGGTACAGGAGGGCTACGTCTACACTGGCATGATTTTCCGAAAATGCTTTTAACGGAAAAATTTTCCATTAAAAGCATTTTCGGAAAAGCGCGTCTAGATTGGCCATGGACGCTTTTCCGCAAAAAAGCCCCGATCGCCATTTTCGTGATCGGGGCTTTTTTGCAGAAAACACTACTGTGCTGTTTACACTGGCCCTTTTGCGCAAAAGTCTTTCGGAAAAAGACTTTTGCCCAAACGGGAGCAGCATAGTATTTCCGGAAAAGCACTGACGATTTTACATGAGATCATCAGTGCTTTTCCAGAAATTCAAGCTGCCAGCGTAGATAGCTGGCAAGTTTTTCCACAAAATCACATGATTTTGCAGAAAAACTTGCCAGTCTAGACACAGCCAAGCTGATTTAAAGGATAGATTACAAACCAGAGTTAATAGTACTGCAAGTTCCTATTTGAGTGCTTTCAAAATTCTTGGGTGAATGTCATCTGGTCCCAGTGACTTGTTAAGTTTATCAATTTGTTCCAAAACCACCTCTAATGATCTCAATCTAGGACAATTCCTCAGATAAAGAATGGCTCAGGTTTGGGAATCTCCCCAGTACCCTCAGCCATGAAGACTGAAGCAAAGAATTAATTTAGCTTCTTTGCTATGACTTTATCATCTTTGAGTGCTCCTTTAGCATCTTGATTGTCCAAGGGCCCCACTGGTTGTTTACCAGGCTTCCTGCTTCTGATTTACTTAAACATTTAACTATTACTTTGAGTTTTTGGCTAGCTTTTACACAAGTAAACACATTTTAACATCCCTAGCCTGTAAAGGTGCTGATAAATCACCATGCTGTCACTGTACACTATTGCTCCAGGAATGCTCAGCAGAGGTGGATACTTGATGCTTTGGAAGAAATTAACCATCCTTTTCCCAAGGCCACATGAAGGTACGTATGTCCACATGGGTGCTGCTCTTACCCCAGGAGGTCAGTAGGCCTTGAGGGTCTGTCCCATGCCGTTCTGCACTATGTTACAGTGCTGTACGATTCTTTCCCACTGAATTGTTAAGAGGACCTGTTTCTGGCTGTGTCATAGAAATATGGAAGTTGTGGGCTGGTGTTGGCAGGCTATGAAGTGTGTCTCCTCACTTCAAGCTGGCAGCTTACCATCCCAACTGAAAATAGGTTTTAGCCTATAGCCCCAGACAAGTAAAGCCCACTTATGGGTGGTGGTTGTATAAATGGGAGGCAGGTCAACTCAGCAGTGAAGGCAATCCCAGAGGCTGTCTACACTCGCGGCTTCTTGCGCAAGTATGGCCGTTCTTGCACAAGAAGCCGCAGAGCGCCTATACTGCCCGCCTACTCTTGTGCAAGGAAATTTAAAGTACGGCATGGTAAGAGGGCTTATTGCGCAACAGCTAGGCTCTTTTTTAACAGGTGTAAACCCTCTTGCACAGGAGCTCTTGCAGAAGAGGGCAGTGTGGACGCTCGGCAGGGATTTCTTGCACAAGAAAGCCCTATGGCTAAAATGGCCGTTGGAGCTTTCTTCCGCAAGAGAGCGTCCACACTGCCATGGGAGCAGCTTGTGCAAAAGCACAGCTCACACATGGCAGTGTGGACATTTTCTTGCACAAGACTTCTTGCACAAGATGCCGCGAGTGTAGACATAGTCTTAGTGTGGAAGAGAGCACTCCCAGCCCGATATACCCCAGCTTCTATTTAATGAGGACACTCCTCTCTCTGATTGTCACAGGTAATAAACAAAAGTTAATGGAAGTCCATGACCTGTCCCTAATTACACAGGGTAGGGGTGGGGGGGAGGGGGGAAGTGGTGGTGGTGGTGGTGGTGTGTGTTAAAAGCAG